GGAAAGTGCGCCTGTAATTCCAGCTACTCGGGGAGGCTGAGGCAGGAGAATGGCATGAACCTGGGAGGTGGAGCTTGCAGTGAGCTGAGATCGCACCACTGCACTCCGCCTGGGGAACAGAGCCAGACTCCATCTAAAAAAAAAAAAAAAAATTCCAAACTGGATCAAAATTAAAAAATACAACATATCAGAATTTGTAAACTGCACCTAAAACAGTACTTAATAAACCACTTTGAGCACTGAATGTCATATTACAAGAGTCTCAAATCAATGACCATGACACCTACCTTAAGAGACTACAGAAAAAGAAGAGCATATTAAACCCAAAGCATGCAGAGGAAAGGAAAAAATAAACCTGTGTTATGGTCTGAATGTTCGTGTCCCCCCAAATTCATATGCTGAAGCCTAATCACAGAGGTCATAGCATTTGGAGGTAGGACTTTTTGGAGATCGTTAGTACATGGAGGCCACAGTCTCATGAATGGGATTAGTGTCTTTATACAAGGGACACCAGAGCTCTTCTTTGCCCCTTCTGCCATTTGAAGACACAGGGGAATAAAAGGCATCTGTGAATAAGGAAATGGTCCCTTACCAGACACCAAATCTGACAGCACCTTGATCTTGCATTTCACACCTCCAGAACTGTGAGAAATCAATTTCTGTGGTTTAGAAGCTACCCCCTATAGTATTTTGTTATAGCAGGCCAAATGGACTATGACATCAAATACGAAACCAATAAAACAAAAAAATATGGAAAATTAATAAGACTAAACACTTCAAAGAGATCAATAAAAGTGATAAGGCTTCCTCTAGCCAGGATACTCAGGAAAAAGAGAAAATAAAAATTGCTAATTTCATGAGTATACAGATTCTACAAATACTTAAAAAAAAAAAAAGGTCATATTATTGCTTTTATGTGAATAAACAGGACAAGTGAGATAAAATTAACAAATTCTTTGAAAAACAAAAATTACCAAAGCTCCATCAAGAAGAAATAGATAACCTGATTTCCCTTACATCTATAGAAGAAAATAAAATCATAGTTGAAAACTTTCCTACAAAGAAAGCTCCAGCCCCAGATAGCTTTGCTGGTGAATTTTACCAAACATAGGAAGAAAAAAATTCTACACAAACTCTCCCCAAAAAGTAAATAGCAGGAGTACATCCCTATGCATTACTCTGAAGCAAAATCAGACATTTATATTACAAAAAATAATCATAAAACAGCTCCCTTGGGAACATGGATACAAAAATTCAACCAATTTTTGAAGCAACCAAGATATCCTCTGTAGGTGAATGAATACACTGTGGTACAGCCATACAATGAAATATTATTCAGGGCTTAAAAAAACAAGCTATTAAGCCATGAAAAGATATAAAGGAACCTTCGATGCACATTACCAAGTAAAAGAAGCCAATTTGAAAAGCCTACTTACTGTATGCTTCCAACTATATGACATTCTGGAAAAGGCAAGACTATGGATATAATAGAAAGATCAGTGGTTGCCAAAGACTTGAGGAGGGTAGGAAAGCACAAATAGGCAGAACACAGAGGATTTTCAGGGAAGTGAAAACACTTTGTGTGCTACTATAGTGATGGATGGATACATGTCATTATACCTTTGTTCAAACCCAGAAAATGTACACCACCAAAAGTGAACCCTGATGTGGACTATGGACTTTGGGTGATTATGATGTGTCCATGTAGGTTCATCCATCATTGCAACCGTATCAGTCTGGTGAGGGATATTGATAATGGGGAGGCCGTGCATGTAGTGGGGGGTGTATATGGGAAATCTCTCTGTACCTTCCTCTCAATTTTGAAGTGAACCCGAAACTGCTCTAAAAATGATCTTTAAAAAATTCTAAACAAAATTTTTAACAAATTGAATCCAATGATATATTAAAAGGATAATATATCATAAGCTAATGGGGTTTATCCCAGAAATACAGGGTTGGTTTCACATTCAAAAATCACTGTTACTCATCATTAACAAACTAACAAAAAGAACTATATGATCATCTCAGTACATAGAGGCATTTGATAAAATTAAACATTTATTACTGATTAAGACTAAAAAAAACTCTCAGAAAAGTAAGAATACAAGAGAACTTCCTTAGCGTGATAAGGAGCATCTAGGATAAACCTACAGCTAACACATGTCATGATGAGAAACAGAATGCTTTTCCCATAAGATCGGGAACAACACAGGGATGTCTGCTTTCACTACTTTTATTCAGTGCATTGAAGATTCTAGCCAGTGCATTCAGGCAAGAAAACGAATACAATGGAAGAAAGAGATGAAACTATTTTTATTTACAACCATGATCACATAATAGGGGTGAGGAAACTTCAACCCGTGGGACACCTTCTTGTTTTCATAAATCAAGTTTCACTGGAGCACAGCTATGTTCATTATTTATGTATTGTCTGTGGCTGCTCTCATACCTCAGTGGAAGAGTTGATTAGCTGCAACAGAGACTGGTTTGCCGCAAATCTTAGAATATTTACTAGCTTTAATAAGAGCATACTTGGAGAAAGAAAAGGTTTGACAACCTTTGGTCTATGGAGAAAATCTTATCCAATCTACTAAAAAGAAACTACGCAGAAAGCAAAGGTCAATTGAACTTCTTCAAAATTAAAAACCTCTCTTTAAAAAATATTAAGAGAATGAAGAGTGAAGCCACAAACTGGAAAAAAAATTCTTGCAAAAATCATAGCCAATAAAGGAACAGAATCCAGAATACATAAAGAACTCTTAAAACTCAACAAATAAGAAAACAACAGCATAATATTTTATTTGTTTATTTTAATTAAAAAAAAATTTTCCCATAAGTTATTGGAGTACAGGTGGTATTTGGTTACATGAGTAAGTTCTTTAGTGGTCATTTCTGAGATCCTGCTGCACCCATTACCTGAGCAGTATACACTGCACCATATATGTTGTCTTTTATCCCTTGCCCTCCTCCCACTCTTCCCTGCAAGCCCCTAAAGTCTGTTGTATCATTCTTATGCCTTGTGCCCTCGTAGCTTAGCTGAGAACATACGATGTTTGGTTTTCCATTCCTGAGTTACTTCACTTAGAATGATAGTCTCCAGTCTCATCCAGGTCATTGCAAATACCAGCATAATATTTTAAATGGCAATAGATTTGAAAAGACAGTTCTCCAAAGATACAGATGGCAAATAAGCACATGAAATTATACTCAACATTAGTAGTCATTAAGATAACGTGCATTAAAACCATAATAGTATGCACAATACACATCCAGCAGAAAGGCAAAAAAAAAAAAAAATTAAGTGTCCAGAAGTCCATGGTGTGTGTGACAATACACAGCAAATGGAGCTGTTGTTTACTGCTGATGGGAATGGATAATGGTACAAATACTTTGAAAAACAATTTAGCAGTTTCTTAATAAGAGGATATGAAGGGGTATCAGGAGACTTTAGCGGGTGATGGATATGTTAACTATCTCCATTACGGTGATGATTTCACAAGTGTGTACGTATGTCAAACTTACCAAATTCTACATCATATACATGTGCACTTTATCAAATATCAATTATATATCACTAAAGCTACTGACAGCAGGACCACACATCTAAGACAGTGGCTGGGACACAAACAGAAAGAAGAGTATGAAATGATGCAGCAGAGAGCTGGAAAATTGAGATCTTTAACCTTATAGCAATGAGAGTAATAGCTAGCTTTCAAACAAAAGGTAATAGCTAGGCTTCACGCAAAAGGACAGCATGATCAGATATGAATTTTAAAACATATATAATTATGGTTGCCTAACAGACCATGATTTAGGAAGGTGGGATAATAAGGAAAACAGTTCAGAAGTTATTGCAGTATTCCAGGTGGTGGACAATGGTAACCTGACCTTGAGGAAAAGCACAGGAAAGAAGCAGAGTCAACCAAAAGACTGGGAGTGCCACTCACATGGAGTACAGTGGAATTAGCACAGCTCTTTGACTGAGAGTGCATAATATACAATCGTTCTTACTCTCTTTTGACATAAGGCATCCTTCTGGGATGAACATCACTATAACACCTCAGCACTCTATAGTGCAGTGCTAAGCAAAGTGTGCACACACATTACTACAGGATACATAAAAAGACCTTATATTTATGTAATGGTAATGGTCCTACCTTTACAATCCACGCCAAGTTCTTCAATGAGCAATATAAACTTTTTGTAATTAGAGTAAGGCAGCTCACAACATTCTGAGGCTATTTCAGATGACCAAGTTAAGTCATCAAAGCCATCCATAGAATGGATTTGGTTTCTGACCTATGAAATAAATAACAACATATCAAAAATTTCCACAAAAAATTAGAGCATGTACTAAATGTAAAGAAGTGGTAATCACCCATCTTTTGATATGAGCAAAAATGTCGGTAAAAGAACTGATTTTTTGATAAAAGGATACCTTTATCAATAACTACTATTTTTTTCAACCTTTGTTTTAGGTTCAGAGGGCACCATGTGCTGGCTTATTGCATGTTGCTGGGAGTTGCTGTAGGAATAATCCCATCACCCAGTTAGTGAGAACAGTATCTGATGGTTAGTTTTGCAACAAATGACACCTCCCCGCTTTCCCTCTCCCCTGAGTGTCTTGATCCCATCTTTGTGTCCATCTGTATTCAATATTGAGCTCGCACTTATAAATGAGAATGTGTGGCATTTGGTTTCTGTTCCTGCATGAGTAGGCTTAGGATAATGGCCTGCAGCTGAATCTATGTGGCTGCAAAGGACATGATTTCATTCTTTTTATGGCTATGTGGTATTCCATGCTGTCTATGTACCACCTTTTCTTTATCCAGTCTACTTTTGATGCGCCTCTTGGTTGATCCCATGCCTGTGCTATTGTGAATAGTGCTGTGATGAACATACGAGTGCAAGCATCTTCTTGGTAGAAAGATTTATTGTACTGTGCGTATATATCCAGTAGTGGGATCGCTGGGTCAAATGGTAGTCCTGTTTTACGTTCTTTGAGACATCTCCACATTGCTTTCCACAGTGGCTGAAGTAATTTACATTCCCACTCTAGCAGCATATAAGTGTTCCCTTTTCTCTGCAACCTCACTAGCAACTGTTGTTTTTTGAGTTTTTAATAATAGCCATTTTGTCTGGTGTGAGATGATATATCATTGTGGTTTTGATTTGCATTTCTCTAATGATTAGTGATAAGCACTTTTTCATATATTTGTTAAGCACATGTATGTCTTCTTTTAAGAAGTGTTTGTTCATGTCTCTTGCCCATTCTAAAGGTGTTATTTGCTTTTTGTGTCTTGAATTGTTTAAGTTCCTTATAGATTCTGGATATTAGACTTTTGTCAGATAAATAGCTTGTGAATATTTTCTCCCATTCTGTAAGCTGTATTTTTACTCTGTAGATAGTTTCCTTTGCTGGGCAGAAACTCTTTAGTTTAAATGTGACCCACTTGCCAATATTTGTTTTGTTTCAATTACTTTTGGAGACTCAGTCATAAATTCTTTGCTAAGGCTGAAGTTGAGAATGGCATTTCCTAGGATTATCTACTGGAATTTTCATTATTTGCGGTCTTACATTTAAGTCTTTTATCCATCTTCAGTGAATTTTTGTATATGGTGAAAGGAAGGAGTCCAGCTGCAATCTTTGGCATGTGGCTAGGTAGTTATCCCAGCACCATTTCTTGAAGAGGGAGCCCCTTCCCCATTGTTTGCTATTGTCAATTTTGTCAAAGATCAGGTGGTTGTAGGCGTGTGACTTTATTGCTGGGTTTGCTATCCTCTTTCATTGGTCTATGTGTCTGTTTTTTGCCAGTACCATGCTATTTTGATTAGTGTAGCTTTGTAGTCTATTTTGAGGTTGGGTAGTGTTATGTCTCTGGCTTTGTTCCATTCACTTAAGATTGCTTGGATGATTCAGGCTTTTTGGTTCCATTTGAATTTTAGAATAGTCTTTTCTTATTCTGTGAAAAATGACATTGGGGCCAAGCATGGTGGCTCATGTCTGTAATCCCAGCACTTTGGGAGGCTGAGGCAGGTGGATCACTTGAGCTCAGGAGTTTGAGACCAGCCTGGGCAACATGGTGAAACCTCCTCTCCACAAAAGATACAAAAATTAGCATAGTGCCATGCGCCTGTATTTCCAGCTACTCAGTAGGCTGAAGTGGGAGGATGGCTTGAAGGCCGGGAGGTGGAGGTTGCAGTGAGCTGAGATCACACTATTGCACTCCAGCCTGGGTGACAGAGTAGGACCCTGTTTCAAAATAAAATAAACATGACATCGATAGTTTGATAGGAATAGTGTTGAATCGTAGACTGCTTTGGACAGTATGGCCATTTTTAACAATATTGAATCTTCCTATCCATGAGCATGGAACATTATGCCATCTGTTTGTGTCATCCCTAATTTCCTTCAGCAGTATTTTGTCATTTTTATTTTAGAGATTTCACCTCCTTGGTTAGCTGTATTCCTAGGTATTTGATTCTTTCTGCGGCTATTGTAAATGGCATGTATTCTTGATTTGGCTCTCAGATATTTATTGCTGTATAAAAATGGTATTAATTTTTGTACACTAATTTTGTACCCTGAAATGTTACTGAGGTCATTTATCAGATTTAGGAGATTTTCAGCAGAGTTTTTGGGGTTTTCTAGGTAGTGATTGATATCATCTGCAAAAAATATATATATATAGTTTGACCTCCTCTCTTCATATGTAAATACCTTTTATTTATTTTTTTCTTGTCTCGTTGTTCTGGCTGGGACTTCCAGTATCATGTTGTATAGGAGTAGTAAGTGTGAGCATCCTTGTCTTGTTCCAGCTCTCAAAGGGAATGCTCCCAGCTTTTGCCCATTCAGTATAATATTGGTTGTGGGTTTGTCATAGATGGTTCTCATTATTTTGAGGTGTGTTCTTTTCATGCTTTCTTTGCTGAGGGCTTTTAACATGAAGAGATGTTAAATTTTATCTAAAGCCTTTTCTGAATCCATTGAGATGCTCATGTCGTTTTTGCTTTCAATTTTGTTTATGTGGTTAATCAAATTTATTGATTTATAGTTGAATCAACCTTGCCTCCCAGGAATAAAGCCTGCACATTCCTGGTATATTAACTTTTTGATGTGGTACTGGATTCAGTTTGCTTGTATTTTGTTTAGGATTTTTGCATCCATGTTATTCAGGAAAATTGGCCTAAAAGTTTTCTTTTTTTGTTGTCTACCTGGCAGGTTTTTGGTATCAGAATGACACTGGCTTCATAGAATGAGTTTGGGAGGAGTCCCTCCTGCTCAATTTTTGGTAACAGTTTCAGTAGGAGTGATACTAGCTTTTCTTTGTACATCTGGTAGAATTCAGCCATGAATCTATTTGATCTTCAGCTTTATTTTTCCATTGGTAAACTTTTTATTACCGATTTCATTTTGGAATTCATTCGTGGTCTGTCTAGGGTTTCAGTTTCTACCTGGTTCAGCCTTAGGAGGGCTTTATGTTTCTAGAAATGTTTCTTTTTCTTTTTTTTTTTTTGTGGTTTTCGAGTTTGTGTGCATAATAGTCTGTGAGGATTTTTTGTATTTCTGTGGAGTCAGCGGTTATGTCACCTTTGTCGTTTCTGATTGCAGTTATTTGGATCTTCTTTTTTCCTTATCAACGTAGCTAACAGTCTGTCAATCTTGTTTATTCTTGCAAAAAACCAATTACCAGTTTTGTTAATCTTTTACATGGATTTTTGCATCTCAAATTCATTCACTTCAGCTCTGATTTGGGATATTTCTTTTATTCAGGTAGCTTTGTGATTGGTTTGTTCTGGTTTTTCTAATTCCTCAGGTGCGATATTGGTTCTTAATTTGAAATTTTTCTAACTACATATGTAGGCAGTAAGCACTATAAACTTTCCTCTTTACATTGCTTTAGCTGTGTCCCAAAGAGTCTGCTATGTTGTCTCTCTATTTTCATATGATTTTTTTTTCATTTAATTTCACTCTTTATCCGAAAGTCATCACTCTTTATCCGAAAGTCATTCAGAAAAAGGTTATTTAACTTCCATGTAATAGTATGGTTTTGATATATCTTCTTGGTATTGATTTCTATTTTCATTGAGCTGTCAGCTGAGAGTGTGGTTGGTATGATTTTGCTTTTATGAATCTGCTGAGACTTGCTTTACGGCCACACATGTGGTTGGTCTTAGAGTATGTGCCATGTGCAAATGAGATGGATGTATTAATATATTATATTTTTGTTGGGTGAAGTTTTCTGTAGCTGTCTATTAGGTACAACTGGTCACATGTCAAGTTTGATCTGTCTAACACTGTAAGTGCAGGGTTGACCTCTCCCACTGTAATTGTGTGGTTGTCTAAATCTCTGTGTATATCTCTAAGAACTTATACATCTTTGTGCTCCAGGTTGGGTGACAGTATATATTTAGGATAGTTAACTCTTTTTGTTGGATTGAGTCCTTTTTATCGTTATATAATTCCCTTGTTCATTTCTGATTGTTGTTGGTTTAAAGTCTGTTTTATCTTATGTAAGAATAGCGACCCCAGCTCTTTGTTTTGTTTTCTGTTCACCCGATAGATCTTTCTCCATCCTTTTCCTTTGGGCCAATGGGTGTTATTACTTATGAGATGAGTCTCTTGCAGACAGTTGGGACTTGCTTCTTTATCCAATTTGCCACCCTATGTTTTTTCAGTAGAGCGTTTAGACCATTTATATTCAAGGTTTGTATTTCAAATGAAAAGGATTTCATTTCTCCCTTGCTTACAAAGCTTACTTTGGTGGGACCTGAAATTCTTGGAATTTCTTAAGAATGTTCAAAATAGGCCCCCAATCCCTTCCGTCTTGTAACGTTTCTGCTGAAAGGTCTGCTTTTAGCCTGTTGGGGTTCCTTTCATAGTAACCTGCCCCTGTTCTCTAGTTGCCTGTCAGATTTTTTCTTCTGTGTTGACCTTGGAGAACCAAATGACTATGTGTCTTGGCGATGGTCATCTGGTATAACATCTGACAGGGGTTCTGTGAATTTCTTGAATTTGCATGCTCACCTCTCTAGGGAGACTGGGGAAATTTTTGTGCGCAATATCTTAAATATGTTCTCCAAATTGGGTGTTCTCTCTTCTAATCTTTCGGGATTGCTACTGAGTCATTGTTTTGTTCTCTTTACACAATCCCATATTTCTCAGAGGTCTGATCATTAAACATTTTTTTTCTATTTTTGTCTGCTTGTTTTGCCTTGATGGAGCAGTCTTCAGTGTCAGAGATTCTTTCCTCAGCTTGGCCTATTCTACTGTTAATACTTCCAATTGTATTTCGAAATTCCTGTAGGGAATTTTTACTCCCAGAAGTGGAGTTGGGTTCTTTCTTGAAATAGTTATGTCATCTTTCAACTTGGATTGTTTTACAGCTTTACTTGGATTGGGTTTCAGCCTTCTCTTGTTTCCTGATGAGTTTCCTTGCCATACAAACATTGAATCCTGTTTCGAAGATTTCAGCCATCTCCATCTGGTTAAGCAGCATTGCCAAGGAGCCAGAGTGATCATTTGGGGGTAAGAAGACACTGGCTTTTAGAGCTGCCAGAGTTCTTGTGCTGGTTCTTTCTCATCTGTGAAGGCTGATGTCCTTTCTTCCTTTTAAGCTGCTGTACTTTGGCTTTATAATTTCATGTTTGAGGGTTTGACTGTGGTGCAATGTAGGTATAGATGAATGGCTTCATTTCCGGATGCTTTCAGAGGGCCAAGGCTCAGCTCCACACTCCTGGGCTGAGTGCTCTAACCCTAGGTGGTTGCAACTAGGCCTGTGGCTTTGTTCTCCGGTCTCTTGTAGTTGACCACTGATGGCCTGGGGGAAAAGGTGCTCCCAGACCACTGGCAAGAGAACTCCATTGGGTGCTGGGGATGATAGGGCTCTGGTGAGGCAATGGAAGGCTGCAAAGAGAAGCACTCCAGGGGGCTGCTGTGGGCGGAAATGCTTTGGAGGGTAGGTGGGGATTCCTTGGGCAGCAGTGCTTTGGAGGGGTCGCTGGCTGCTGTTTCTAATTACTTTTTCAAAGTAAATGTCTTTACAATCACAGATTCTCTGTTTTTTCACTTTACCTCTTTTTTTATTTTTATTTTTATTTTTTGAGATGGATCTCGCTCTGTCGCCCAGGCTGGAGTGCGGTGGCGCGATCTTGGCTCACTGTAAGCTCCGCCTCCCGGGTTCAGGCCATTCTCCTGTCTCAGCCTCCCAAGAAGCTGGGACTAAAGGCGCCCACCACCATGCCCGGCTAATTTTTTGTATTTTGTTTAGTAGAGACGGGTTTTCACCGTGTTAGCCAGGATGGTCTCAATCTCCTGACCTCGTGATTCGCCCACCTTGGCCACCCAAAGTGCAGGGATTATATGCGTGAGACACCGCACCCGGCCAACTTTACCTCTCCTAATGTATTTTTTAACAATCATATTCACGATAACATATTTTTAACAATACCTTGTCCTTCTCATTAGATGTTTTCTTTGTAAGCCTAAAACAACAAAAAGTTCATGTCAGGCAAACGACAAATATGTAAAATACAAAGAATATCTAAAATTATTGTCTTGTGTATAAAATCTCTGTATTTGTTATGTATTTCTCTTATTCTTAAAGTTTACGGGTAATTTTTTTCTTCTTCTTTTGAGACAGAGTCTTGCTCTGTCACCCAGGCTGGAGTGCAGTGGCATGATCTCGGCTCACTGCAACCTCTGCCTCTGGGTTCAAGGGCTTCTCCTGCCTCAGCCTCCCGAGTGGCTGGGATTACAGGTGCGCACCACCACACCTGGCTAATTTTTGTATTTTAAGTAGAGACGGGGTTTCACCGTGTTGGTCAGGGTGGTCTTGAACTCCTGACCTCGTGATCCACCAAAGTGCTGGGATTACAGGTGTGAGCCACTGCACCTGGCCTACAGGTAAGTTTTTTACAGGGAATGGAAAATACAATTATTTTATACAAGGGAGATTAAACTATAAACAGAAAAAGCTACATCAAGGGTCAAAGAAAATATACTGCTAATTAACTATACAACCCAAAATTAAATTTAGAGTAAGCTTTTTGACAGCCACAGCAAAAGGAAAAACAGGTTACTTGCATTATTTGATAGAAGATATATACCACTTTTTGTTATTGTCATTTTCAATGAAAACAAGCTATTTGGAAAATATTACTTATGTTCTTATATGAGAGAAACTCCTCTTAAATGTTATTACTTAGCTTTTCAGGCCTTAGTAGGCAGTTGGATGCTTTCTTCTAAGCCCTGTACATCTTGTAAAAATGCACTTGAATCCTCACTGCAATTATGTGAGGTGGGTAATGTATCAGCTATTTTATAAAGGAAGAAATCAGGCACAGGAAACTCATGTAACTCTCCCCAGCCCTACAGCTGGTCGATAGCAGCCCCAGCATTCAAACTCGGGAATTCTGGCTCCAAAACATGTGTTTCACAGCATGCCATGAACTCAGTATTTATTTTCAACTGTTTTTAAGTGATACGATAGCACATTAATCCAGACTTTCATTCTATTTCTGGCCAAAATTATAAGTAATATTTTCTGAATCTTGTAATTAAAAAAACTACTAAGAACTTATACATAGGCAACTTTAGAAACCTACTTTCAATGAACAAACAATTCCATTTTTTGCTAAAGATCCATCAACAGGCATTCATTCATCTATTCAACCATTTATTCCTGCTTTCAACTAATGCTTCTTGAGCACACAATACATGTCAGTTGGTCCAGGAAAACATGGTTGTTATACTTCAAAACTGTATAATCTAAAAGTAATAATCCTTGATAGATCATCAGTGGCTTGCTTTTCTGTTGTACATAAACAGAATCATCCTCTTCTCTCCAGAAGCTAAACAGCTATAGAGTTGACATACCTGATATTTCTGAGTACCTCACCAAATCATAGCTATTTATGATGCTATTGTCAAAGGTATTGTAATATCAATCACCAAGAAATATGTAAATACTATTTGGTATGACCTAATGTTTGTACATTTATTATTACATTACTTTAAAGAATCTATCTATGATAGTTTAACTTTTCGGTCATCATTTTTATGTTTAGTTTCATTAGAATATTCCATTTCCAACTCAATTCTGAAGGAATAACCTCTTACCATAAAATTATACATGAATAGCAGAAGGAAAAGAATTAGTTTACTATAAATCCTTAAATAACACTGTATCAAGCTTTCTAATGCTTAGGCGTGCAAACCAAATTAAATCTCATAAGCATGCCCTTCTCTACTGGATCAATTACAAAAGAATACAAACATACTCTAAAAGCTTCTATTTTAAAATAAAAGAAGAAAACACCCTTGAATCCCATATTCCTTTTCACTTATTACCCATTTCTTTGTTGCCTTTCACAGACAATGTTCTCTCTAGAAATGTCTACTGTCATCCACTAGAGTCAGGGTTCCATGGTGATCATTTATTGAAACTGCTCCTTGTCAAACCCACTCATCCTTATCTTTTTTTTTTTTTGTTTGAGACGGAGTCTCGCTCTGTCACCCAGGCTGGAGTGCAGTGGCCGGATCTCAGCTCACTGCAAGCTCTGCCTCCCAGATTCCCGCCATTCTCCTGCCTCAGCCTCCCGAGTAGCTGAGGCGCCCGCCACCTCGCCCGGCTAGTTTTTTGTATTTTTTTTAGTAGAGACGGGGTTTCACTGTGTTAGCCAGTATGGTCTCGATCTCCTGACCTCGTGATCCACCCGTCTCGGCCTCCCAAAGTGCTGGGATTACAGGCTTGAGCCACCGCGCCCGGCCTCATCCTTATCTTAATCGATCTTTCAGCAGCATTGCTACTGTTGAGTATTCTGTAGCTTTGAAGTATTTTACTATTCTATTTTCAGAAAAAGTAATCACTGCTAACGTTCCTTTACAGAGAAATAAAGAACGCATCAATTTTACTTTCTTTCTTTCTCATCTATTTCAGTTAAACTGCTGTCATCAGTCACTTGCAGCAGATCATGAGTTATTAAATCGGCCTTCTTAAATACTAGCAGAGTCACAGATTCTGTTGTGATCCATTCTTCATGTTCATTTTTCTTTACTTTCTTCATATGCAAGGCAGGGACACTACTTCAAAAAATTCATTAAAAAGATAATGTTTTCTAATAATTCTACAGACAAAAAATAGTAAACCAAATTTTTATAAAACTGCAACTCTTTTCCATCTCAATTCATTTCTTAATACAAAAACCTGTTATGAAGTACCAACCAAATGCAAGGAAATGTATATTCTCTGCTTCAAAAGACTGATAAATACACAATTATACTACAATGCAATATGTAAGAGCTGATCTATGAAAAGCTTTTCTGAGCACAAAGAAGGCTTTACAGAAGTAGCAAAATGTAAGGGAAGCGCACGAGGAAAAATGTACACGAAAGTCATCCTACTTAGAGATCGGGATGTGAGCACAAAGTCTGGGCACGTGGCATCTAGGTGATTCCTAGGAACCTGAAAAGAAAGTGTAAAATAGAAAGAAGCAAAAAATCAGAGATGCTTTTCTGTAGTTTTAATGAGCAGAAAGCATCTGGTTAAAGTTGCCTTCCAGTTAGGAAAGGACTGACCTGTAGCCATGGTAACAAGTAGTTACCCAGAACCAGTTTTAAATCTACTCAATGACCAGTGGCCTCACCCACCAACCAATCAATGTCAGCTGCTTGCTTCTGACACAGAAACAATCAGAGACAAACTCACTCCAATCAGTGAGCCTGGAAATGCCAGCCAATCCACAACAATCTCACTCTGATAACCATGCTGCTCCAGGTGATGTCAACCCATTTATTCCTTTAAAACTCAGCCAGTCCTTCAACTCCACTCTTACCAAAACCCTATGTAAGATCAGCAGCTGCTCCATCAGAAGAGACTGTGCCTGACCAGCACATCTCTCCCACTATAGATGGAAATGAATTCCAACCTTGCCTTTTTTTTTTATATAATCACTGAAGGCTTCTAATGCTTTGGGAAAATGTTTTCAAGTCAATTACATCTACCACCCTTATATTTTATTTTGCTTAAGAAAATACAAATGAAGTTTGCAATTCCTTTGGTCCACAGTACCATAATTAAAACTATCGTAATTACCAGAAAAGGAATAATTTGTGAATAACCACAATATTGGGCTTTTCTCCCTAGATGGAAAGAGCCAACAGAATCCAAAATATGAATATAACTTCCAGATAAAATTGTCAAAATGAACCCAGGTCAAACTGGTTTTTAAGTAAGAATCCACTTAATGTCTAAATCAATATACCCAGGGTAAATTCTATTCACTCATTTGATAAATACTTATTAAGTTGATACACACTATCTGCTAGGCACTTTTCTAGGCACTGAGGGTACAGCAATAAATAGGAATCCCACTCAAGAGTGAAGTAAACACACAATAACAAATACAATCGATAGGCAAAATATATACTACGCTAGAGGGAAAAAACTAAAGCAGGAAAATGAAAGGTTTTATGTGTTGGGGAGGAGGGCTGGTAGAAATAGTAGAATGACCAGAAAGGGTCTTGCTGAGAACATGGCTGTTAGACAAAGACCTGAAGGAACGGAAGGGGCAAGCCGGGAGGATATCTGAGGGAAAACCATCCCAGACAGAGTGAACTGCCAAGTACAGAGGTAAGTCTGGAGTGCTTCAGGAACAGCGAGAAGTTTAGCGTGGTTGGAACGGAGCAAAAGGAATAGAAAAATAGATGTTTAAGTTGGAGAGATAACAGGTCAGGTCACACATTGCCTTTTAGGTATTAGAAAGAACATTGGCATATATTCTGAGAGAAAGAAGAGGCAATTAGGTTGTGAGCAGAGGAGTGCCATCATCTAACATGTTTTAGCAGGTCCTCTGGGTTAAGAATTCATAAACAGAGAATTAAGAAAAAGAAACAAGATCAACTGGCAGTCTGTTACACTCATGGAGACAGAACATGGTAGTGGCTTGAACATGTAAGATGTGACTGGCTTTTGGATATATTTTGAATATAGGCCTCGTAAGACATGACGACAGATTAGATGTCAGGTATCAGAGAGAAAGACAGAGAGAGATGAGTCAAGGGTGACACGAAGGTTTATTGGCAGAGCAACTGAATGAGTTGCCATGTACCCAAGTAGGAAAGACTACCTGTGGGGAAGGTATGAAGAAGAGCATCAGAAGCCCGATTTTGGACCTGACAAGTTTGCAATACTCAACAGGTGACCAAAGAGAGGTGTCAAGGAGGCAGTTTGCAGGTCTGAAATTAAGGAGAGAGACCTGGGCTGGAGATACACATTTGGACATCATTCTCAATATACAGGATAGTAACAGTCATGAGAAAGAAGACTGAGGACTGAGCCGTGGGACATGTCAATGTGTGAAAGGTAGGGGATGAGGAGAAGCAAGCCAAACGGACTGTGATGGATGAACTAGAAAGGCAGGAGAAGCCAGGTGAGGGAGAGAGATCCTGAAAGCCAAGTGAGGGAAGTGCTGAGAAGCAGGGAGTTCTCTGTTGAGTGAGGCGTTGCTGGTAGGTTGAATAAAACAGGGTCTCAGAAATTATGGCTGGATTTATTAAAGTGAAAATCAGTGGTAACCTTGAGAAAAACAATTTTGGAGGAGTGATGGGAGAGAAAATTACTGGAGTGACTTTTAGAGTGAATGGAAAGGAAATGTGAGCCCTCAAGTACAGGCAGTTCTTTCAAGGTCATCCTCCCTAAGTGGCATGATCATGAACCATCTAATTTACTTGTCATTTAGCTGCATTTTTCTAATCTTATATAATGAGTATACAGTCTATTTTAACACTTTGAAGATTTTTAAAATACATATGGCATTTAAAAATGCAAAACCAGGGTATTATAAGTTCATAAAATTATAGAACTAAAAAGACTACTGGAACATTTCTAGATTACAGATGCTGATCATCATTTTGCTCATATTTATAAATAAATACCACAGAAAGACTAAACGTTTCATGGGCAGTATTTTGTGCTTGATAACAGCCATTTAACTCTAGGATATTTTATCCTCATCCAATGTACAGAGTAATGACTCATATTAAAATACTGAGTTCCACAACAGGAATAAAAGGTGATCAATGAAGGAAACAATCTTATTGTATAAACCAAATTTTTGTAAATTATATAGTATGAAGTCCTTAATGTGTATGTATTAACACAAATCATGGCTTCCTGTAGGATCTAGTCCCAGTAGTGAAGGTCTCAGGTGAAAGGAATGTTGAAATTTTGACACACTACTAAATTACCATTCAAGAAGAATTTACCAATTTCATTTACCCACAGTGTATGAGAATCCCTTTTTCCTCACATTTGTCAACAATGGTTATTATTTTTAAATAAAATATTGATATAATTGAAAAAATGGTACCTCTTTATTTTTTTGCATTTTTATGATCAGGCAAGGCTGAATATCTCTTGTAAAAGTGTAAAATTTGTCAATCATGGATATTTGCCCAAATTAGGGTTACTTTTATAGTACAGTAGAAATGATCTACTGTTAAATACTGTTAAATAGGCTTACCTATCGCACTCTTCATGCTCTGTCCTAGGAATTTGCTGACCGTCAGTTTCTCCACTCTCTCCTTGTTGAATATGGTCATCAGTGGAGCCATCATGTAGGTTTCTTGATGCTTCTGTTTCATTCCTTGCATGCTTCTTCCTTTCTCCCTCAGCCTTTAGTGGAAGTTTCATAGATAGGATAATTGTTATCATTTTATCCAATTGAAAAATTGTTCTGTTTTAATTGATTGTATCACTTCACAGTTTAACTTTCACAATTTTAGTCATTAAAATATTTTGTGCTTATGTTATTATATATGGGATTATATATAGAATTATAAGATATAAGTAGCATAATTTTATCACTGACATTTGTATAAAGTTAGCTTTATTTCTGTGTGAGTGAATGAGACAGAATTTTCCAAAATTTCAAAAGGGCTCTTCTAAATTTTATCCTTTTATTTCCATCGATTCTTTGCTATCTCATATGAATTTTCATCCATTTAACTGGGAAGAAACAGAAATAAAAAGACAAAGACAAATATGCGTCATCTTCTGCCTTTACCTCCTGGATTTTACATCAAACAGCCAGATTTAGAGGATGTGACATTTGGGGCTTCAGGAAGAGAAAGGAAGTCCCTTTCTTCACTAAGCTATTCTGTTTCCCACCACATTTTATAATTCTTTTTTCTTCTGGCTCCTGGGATATCAAAAAAGTGAAGGTGCTCACTGAAATATATGTATATATACACACACACACACAATCAGCCCAAAGAACACCAGATGAATACACTGAAAGACTACACCATGCCATATAGATATCAGACTGTCTAAACAGGAACGAAAAAATCCTACAATCATCAAGAAGAAAGCATCAAGTCATCTATAAAAGAAACCTGATCAAACTAACGTCAACTTCTCAGCAGAAGTCTTACAAGGCAGAAGAGACTGGGATCCTATTTTCACAATGCTTTAAGAAATAAACTGCCATCCTAGAATTTTCTCTCCAGCTAGAAAAAGCTTCATAAATGAAGGAGAACAAGTCTTTTCCAGACCAGCAAATGCTGAGGGAATTCTTCACCACTAGATCAGCCCTACAAGAAATGCTCAAAGAAGGCCTAAACATGGAAAACATGGAAAACAGCTGTCGATGTTCATCATTCATAAAAACACACTGAAGTGTAAAATTCATAGCTAGTATACAGTGATTCATGCATACAATGCAAGCATTTTAGGAGGCCAAGGCAGGAGGGTGACTTGAGGCCAGGGATTTGAGACCAGCCTGTGCTATGTAACAAGATGGCATTTCTACAAAAATAATTTAAAATAAATTAGCTGGATGTGGTGTGTATGCCTGTAGTCCCAGCTACTTGGAGGCTATAGTAGGCAAATCTTGTCTTGCTATAAAGGATTACCTGAGGCTGCTTAATTTACAAAAAGGGAAGTTTAATTGGCTCACAGTTCTGCAGGCTGTCCAGTAAGTGTGTCATTAGCATCTGCTCCTGGTGAGAGCCTCAGGAAGCTTACAATCATGGAAAAAGGCAAAGGGGAAGCAGGCACATCACATAGCAAGAGTGAGAATAGGAGCATGAGGAGGGAGGTGCCACACACTTTTAAACAAGATACTCTCATGTGAACTCACTTAATAGCAAGGGGTTGGGCTAAACCATTCATGAGCCAAATGCTCCCATCATCCAATCATCTTCTATCAAGCCCCAACTCCAACACTGGGAATTATATTTCAATAGGAGATTTAAAGGGGACAAACTTCCAAACCATATCATTCCACCTCTGGCCCCTCAAATCTCATGACCTTCTCGCATTTTGAAATATAATCATGCATTCAAAACAGTTCCTCTAAGTCTTAACTCATTCCAGCACTAACTGAAAAGTCCCAAGGCCCAAGTCCAAAGTTTCATTTGGAGATGAGTTCCTTATACCTATGAGCCTGCAAAATCAAAAAGAAGTTATTTACTTCCAAGATACAAGAAAGCTACAGGCATTGGGTAACCATTCCCATTCCAAAAGGGAGCTATTGGCCAAAATTAAGGGGCAACAGGCCTCAGGCAAGTCTGAAACCCAGCAGGGAAGTCACTAAATCTTGAAGCTCTGAAATAATCCTTTTTCTGACTCCATGTCTCACATCCAAGGCACATGGGTGCAAGGTGTAGGCCCCCAAGGCCTTTGTCAATGCTGCTGCTGTAGCTTTGCAGGCTGCAGCCCCTGTGACTGCTGTCACATGTTAGAGTTGAATGCCTGTGGTTTTTCCAGGTGAAGGGTGCAAGATGCTAGTGGATCTACCATTCTGGGGTCTGGATGTCAGCAACCCCCTTCTGACAGCTCCACTAGGTGGTACCACAGTGGGGACTTGGTGCGGGGAATCCAACCCCACATTTCCCTTTGGCATTGCCCTAGGAGAGGCTTTTTTCCCTGCGAGGGCTCTGCTCCTGCAGCAGGCTTCTGCCTGGACCCAGGTTTTCCCATATATCCTCTGAAATCTAGATGGAAGCCACCAAGCCTCCTTCACTCTTGCAATCTGTGCACCTGCAAGTTTAACAATGTGTGGAAGCCACCAAGGCATATGGCTTGTGTTCACTGGAGTGGCAGCCCAAACTGTACCTGAGCCCCATTGAGCCACTGAAGCCAGAGTGGCATGGATATGAGAAACAGTGTCATGGAGCTGAGCAGAGTTAACAGGGCCTGGGCATGACCCCTGAAACCATTATTTCTTCCTAGACCTCTGGGCCTGTAATGAAAGGGGCTGCCTAGAAGAGCTCTGAAATAACTTCAGGTCATTTTCCCTAACATTTTGGATATTGGAACTTGGCTATGTTTTAATTATGATAATCTCTGTAACAAGTGGCTGCTCCACATCCCATTGTATTTCTCTCTTGAAAAGGCTTTTTCTTTCCCTATTACATGGCCAGGTTGTACATTTTCCAAGCTTTACACTTTGCTTCCAGTTTAAATACAAGTTGCAACTTTAAGCCATTCCTTTTCTCCTGTATCTGATTGTAGGCTGCTAGAGGCAGTCAGGCTACTTCTTGAACTCCTAGCTGCTTAGACAGTTCTTCTGTCAAATACCCTAAGTCGTCATTTTTAAGCTCAATATCCACAGATCCCTAGGACTTGGGCACAATGCAGCCACATTGTTTTCTAAGGCATAACAAGGGTGATCTTCATTCCATTTCCCAACAACTTTTTCATTCCATCTGAGACCTGGCCTTCACTGCCCAGATTCCTATCACATTTTGGTTCTGACCACTAGTCTCTAATGAAGTTCCAAACTTTCATCTTCCTGTCTTCTGCTGAGCCCTCCAAACTCTGCCAGTCTCTGCTCACTGCCCAAACCCAAAGCTGCTTCTGGTTTTCTGGTATTTTTATTGTAACACCCAATCTTTGGTACCAATTTTCTGTGTTAGGCCATTTTTGCATTGTTATAAAGAAATACCTGAGGCTGGTTAATTTATAAAGAAAACAGGTTTAATTGGCTCATAGTTCTGCACACTGTACAGGAAACATGGTGTGAGGGCCACAGGAAGCTTACAATCACGGCAGAATGCAAAGGAAGTGCAGGTGTGACACATGTTGAGTATGAGAGCATGGAGCGGGTGAAGTGCCACACACTCAAACAACCATATGCAAACTCAGAGCAAGAACTCACTTTCACCAAGGGATGGGGCCAAACCATTCATGAGGGATCTGACACTATGATGCAAACACCTCTTACCAGGCTCCCCTCCAACATCAGGAATCACATTTCAATATGAGATTTGAAGGGGACAAACATGCAAACTATATCAGAGGCCAAGGCAAGAGGATCACTTGAGCTTGGAAACTTGAGGCTGCAGTGAGCTATGATTCCACCACTGCACTCCAGTCTGGGTGACCGAGTGAGACCCTGTCTCTAAAATAAATAAGTAAATAACATAGAATAAATTTAACAGGATTCCTAAAAACAGTTACACAAAGGGTGAGAGAAAGAAATCAAATGGCAACATGACAGAACTCCATTAGACCACAAACACAGACAGAAGGAAACAAGGAACAAAGAACTTTTAAAAACATCCAGAAACACATAACATTACAACAGGAACAAAATCTCACATATCAATATTAACCTTGGATTTAAATTGATTTAATGCTCCACTTAAAAGATATAGATTGGTGGAACAGGTTTAAAAACATAACCCAACTCCATGTTGCTTACAACAATCTCACATTAACTGTAAGGACACTTACAGAACAAAAGTAGTGGCAGGGAAAAAGATACTCCATGCCAACAGAAACCAAAAGTGAGCAGAAATAGCTACACTTTTATCATATAAAACAGATTTTAAATTAAAAAAAAAGTTAAAAAGACAAAGAATGTCTTTATATTATAATAAATGGATTAATTTAGCAACAGGATAAAAAAATCTTAAATATATATATGCACCTAAAACTGGAGCACTCAGATTTATACAACAAATATTATTAGAACCACATATAGAGATAGATAGCAACACAATCTGAGTGGGGAATTTCAGTACCCCACTGACACCACTAGAGAAATTATTGAGACAGAAAATCAAGAAAGAAACATTGAACTTAAATTGGACTTCAGACCAAACCGATCTAACCAGTATTTATAGAGCATGCTACCCAGTAACTAAAGGCCATACATCCTACTCATCAGCACATGGAACTTTCTCCAAGATAGACCATATGTTAGGCCACAAAATAAGTCTCAATAAATTTTTAAACATCAGAATCATATCAGGTATCTTTTGAAAGCACAGTGGAATAAAACTAGAAATCTTAACCAAGAGAAATGTCAGAAATTATAGAAATACATAGAAATTAATATGCACTGGAATGATCTTTGGGTCAGCAAAGAAGTGAAGATGGAAATTAAAAAAAGATTTTGACACAAATGACAATGGAAATACAGCATACTAAGACCACTAGAATTTTATGACATTAAATGCATACATTAAAATAATACAAAGATAATAAATTAACAACCTAACATTGTGCCTTAAAAAATTAGAAAACTAACCACAAACCAAATCCAAAGCAGAAAGAAAGAAATGACAAAGATCAGAGAAGAACCAAATGAAATAGAAACCAAAACAACAATGCCTAGGATCAAAAACCAACAGCTGACTCCTGGAAAAGATGAACGTAACTGATAAAGCCCTAGCTACACTAACCAAAAAATGAGAGGAAGGTCAAATAATCAAAATCAGAAATAAGAAAGAAAACATTACAACTGATACCACAGAAATAGAAAAGATCATCAGAGACTATTTATTATAAACAATGATTCGCTAGAGGAAATGGAAAAATTCCTGGAAACAAACAACCTCCCAAGATTAAACCAGGAGGAAACAGAAATCCTGAATAAACCAATAATGAATTCTGAAACAGAATTACTACTAAAAAAAACCTCTGAACAAATAAAAGCCCAGGACCAGAAGGATTCACAGCCAAAATCTACCAAACCTAAAAAAAAGAGCTGGTACCAATCCTCCTGAAACTCTTCCAAAAAATTGACAAGGACAGACTCCCCACTAACTCATTCTATGAAGCCCGTATTAACCTGATATCAAAACCAGACAAGGACACAACATAAAAAGAGCACTACAGACCAGTATCCATGGTAAACAGATATGCAAAAATCCACAACAAAATGCTAGCAGCCTGAATCCAACAGCACATCAAAAAGACAGTAAGTACATCATGATCCAATGTGTTTTATTCCAGGGATGCAAGGAGGGCTCAAAATATGCAAATCAATCCATGTGATTCATCACACACACAAAATTAAGGACAAAAACCTTCAGTCATCTCAATACATGTGGAAAAAGCATTTGATAAAATCCAGCATCCTTTCATGATAAAAACTCAACAAACTAGGCATAGAAGGAACATATCTCAAAATAAAAAAGGCAATATATGATAAACCCACAGTCAACATCATATGGAAGAGGTAAAAAGTTGAAAGCATTCCTCTATGAACAGGAACAAGACAAGGATGCCCATTTTCACCTCTCCTGCTCGACAGAGTACTGCAAGTCCTAGCCAGAGCAAGAGCAATTGGCAAAGAGAAAAGAAATAAAAGGCATCCAAATTAAAAAAGAAGACATCAAATTTTCTTTCTTCACTGATGGTATGCTCTTATGTCTAGAAAACCCTAAAGACTCCATAAAAACCTCCTTAGATTTGATAAATGAATTTAGCAAAGTTTTTGGATCAACACACAAAAATCAGTAGAATTTCTCTACTGCAGCAACCTACAGATTCCACCCAATTCCTATCAAAATCAGTGTGAGAACTGAATCAAGAAGACAATCCCATTTACAAATAACAACAAAAATAAAATGAAATAAAATATCTAGGAATCTATGTAGCCAAGGAGGTGAATGATCTCTACAAGGAAAACTACAAAATATGGCGAGAGAAACTGTAGATGACACAAATAAATGAAAAAACCCATGCTCATGGATTGAAAAAAATAATAGCATTAAAACGACTGCATTGCCCAAAGCAACCTGCAGATTCCACCCAATTCCTATCAAAATACCAACATGATTTTTCACAGAATTAGAAAAAAAATCCTAAAATTCATATGGAACCAACAAAGAGCCACAATAGCCAAAGAAATCCTAAGTAAAAAGAACAAAGAAAAACTGGAAAATCATTAAAATTAGAAAATAATTTAAATTCGACTGTTAAAAATATTACTCTATGTCTAGCTCCTCCTAAATCACTGGATTATAATTAAGAAGTAAAAAATAATTCACCTCACCCTGAAGTAGGAGAGAAACATGAACCAGAAAACTGTCATTGTTTGTTTGCACTCAACTTAATTCATGATGTGTTTCAATAGGACGGTTATAGTCAATAATAACTTAATAATAATAATAACTTAATTGTACATTGTAAAATAACTTAAAGAGTGTAATGGGATTGTTTGCAACTGAAAGGATAAATGCTTGAGGAGATAGATACCCCTTTCACCATGATGTGCTTATTTCGCATTGCATGCCTCAGTCAAAATATCTCATGTACCCCATAAACATATATATCTACTATGTTCCCACAAAAAAATAAAAAATAAATACATAAATAAAAATGATGATGTGTTAAATCTACCAAAAATGAATTAGCAGATGATTTGTAGCATTGCAAAGTCTTCTTTTCCTAAAAAGATTTTGCCATATGACACCTTAAAGGCCAAGCCCTACAGTGCATTTAAGCACTTTTTCTAAAGATTACTAACTGGAGAAGAGTAAACTTTAAATTATTCAGAGCCCAAATCAGCATCAATCAGAAAGAAAAAGCAAATTCTTAAATTTTATTTCCAATAATGTATCATAATAAGATAGTGTTATGTATCTAGATACACTCTCTGCTTAAATCCAGTTCTAATTTATTACAAGGTCCACTAATCACAGTGGATTTTAAAATTAGTAATATTTACTGATTTCCTGCATTGAAATAAGTCATAAAGTTACTGTTTGTATCTTAACACCAAAGATCCCAATTTGCAAAGCACGATTCTCTTCATCAGCAGTTGGGTTGATTTTATAAGCCCATTTTCTCCCTGAACGTGGACAACAAAGTCAACTAGAGACCGAAAGCTAAAATAAATCTTTAATGTTGGCACTAATGATCAGCAATATCAATCTCCAAATTTTGAACTCCTGGGAATGAGTGCTCCTTTCACATGACTGTAGCTCAGTGGCCTTTACTGCTCAATTGTTGATCATTTCTAATGCTAAATAGTAAAATGCAACATTTAATGTTACATTCTTTATCATGTAAGGAGGTTATAAAAACGGAAGACCAAATAAAATTCTAAACATTGTTTGCCTCTATATCAAGAGTTAAACAATAGCTATGAGATACTATAGATTCTAAGAATATATTAAAGTTTATGTATCATTAAAAATGCTTTCAAAACTAAACATTAAATTATGATCTATTGATTCCAAACAGCTAGTGTGAAAGGTAATTTCATTTGGTCTATGTCACGTCATTAAAGCAAAGAAAACAACATAAAATCAGTATTTAGGTTCAAATTTGTACACACCTGTGGCTTGTTCTTTTCACTTCCTTCAAGCCTTTCTGGCTCTTGCTCTGATGTCGCTTCTAAATCTTGTTCTACTGACAAATCCATATAGTTAGTTAAAATGAACTATGTAGAAGAGTTAGATAAAGGCTAAAGTCATTATAAAAATAGATGGAAAATAACACGTATTATTTTATAAATTGAGAGTTTAAATCAAGCTTAATGTTTAGTGAAATATTTATTTCTTTAAGAAATACTTCCAGTTATCCAAAACTTCAACAAACCCCTCCAGGACACTAGATATCACCAGCGCAAGCCACACAAAACAGCTGAAAGATTTTCTCACAAATAAACAAACAAAACCATCGGAAGCAAAACAAAGTGTAAAAATACACTAAGAACATCTGTGGTAACACTGTATGCTGCTCTCTACTTCATAACAGTGCCATGTTATTTATTTATTTTATTTTTTTGAGATGGAATCTCACCTTGTTGCCCAGGCTGGAGTGCAGTGGCATGATCTAGGCTCACGGCAACCTCCACCTCCCAGGTTCAACTGATTCTCCTGCCTCAGCTTCCTGAGTAGCTGGAACTACAGGCATGCACCACCATGCCCAGCTAATTTTTGTATTTTTAGTAGAGATGAAGTTTCACCATGTTAACCAGGCTGATCTTGAACTCCTGACTTCAGGTGACCCACCTGCCTCAGCATCCCAAAGTGCTGAGTTTACAGGCATGAGCCACTGCGCCCAGCCCAGTAATATCATTCTTAATGACACACTACACCTATGATCAATGATTTCCAGAATTACTGTAACCATTTATACTTTTACCAGTGCACAGCCTGTTCTCGATATCTGAAATGTTTTCCTCTACCATTCTAACCATTTCTTTTTCATCACTCACATTGCTGTGTGAAGTATTCCTTGATTCTTGCTATCTTTCCTTAGATAAACAGGTGTCTCTTTCCTTGAGGCTGACTTAGTACTACATTGATTTTTCTAGTGTATCTTTACCACCTGAAATGTACATTCTTTCTATGCATGTCTATTACTCCCTTTGTCCTAAACTGTATGGGACAATCTTTCAAATCATCTTTTCTTTTGTTTCATGTTTTTGAGACAGGGTCTTCCTCTGTCGCCCAGGCTGGAACACAGCGGTGTGATCTCAGCTAACGACAACCTCTGCCTCCCGGACTCTAGAGATTCTCCCACCTCAGCCTCTGAGTATCTGGGACCACAGGCACGTGCCGCCATGCTCGGCTAATTTTTGTAGTTTTTCCAGAGACTGGGTTTCACCATGTAAAAAAGGAAATGAAACTATTGGGGTGCAAAATATTTTATGATTTATTACTATATAGATCTGATCGTATACCTGATTAAAGACACTGAATTTAACTGGGACATAAAGTAGAACACATATTAGATGCAGTTATTCAACAGATTATGTGTCCTAGTAAAATTAAAATGTATTTTCATGTTATTTTTAAATGACACCACCTTCCTTCAAACCAATATTCCTAGTAAATTGTTATTCATTAAAACAAGGTGATACACTATGTGGACACAGCCGAAAAGACACCATCTAGCAAATTCTCAAGGATACCATTCATACTGGGAAAGTCAATTCTATACGACATAAAGTCACAGAAATTATTAAAAATAACTTAATGTGGGGGTTTGGAAGGTGCTTTTTGGGCTACATTTTATATAGTTACAACTGATACAAATTCAGACCTATGGAAACGGAAAAACAAAGAAACCACATTGTGTTTGAGCAGGCAATCTTTACATCCTTGCCTACATTTGCCCTCCGGTCCCAAAGTTCTACGCGTAATCCTTGGACTCACATTCAAGTTTATGTTAAATACTAGCCTAAACAAAATTACTTATCCTTCTCATTCTCTTTGTTATTTTTATGTTGCTTTGGTTAAAGGAAGAACACAAATGCCCTGCTGACAGGTCCTCTGTTTGGTTGTAGCTTGTATAAGGAGGGTGTAAATACAATACACACTTTGCCACAAAATGATTCTTTAAAAGTTACAACTATGGTATTATGAAGCCACGTACAGCTATGCTGGGACTGAATTCTCTGTGCTTCTTTATTACCTTCTTTGCTCTCTTTGTTTTCTGGTAGCTGTGACTCACACAGGTCATGGAGAGTGTAATTCCAAAATAGAAATGCAGCTGCAGTGGTCATCTTTTCTTGATCTATTAAGTTCATCTGCCCCAAGTCTGTGGATCCCAACACAGTTTTGGTCATTGGTGGAGATGGAAATGGACATAGATCACTAACTTTCAAATTCTCAGATCTTTCGTGAATCTCATTACTAAAATCCAAAGCTGAAAAAGCTGAAAGTAAAGTTTTCATTATTAGAATGTAACTCATAATACAACTTGACTAACGTGGAGAAATTCCTTCTGAAACAGAAGCAGTCCCTTGTCCTCCATTCCCCCAGAAACACACCACTCCTGCATGGCTTATTGTATTCTGCATGTCCTGTACTTGCCATTCACTCACGTCGGTTTTATTAACGATCATCTTTGACATTTTTATTTTTTAGTGTTACTTACTTTGATTCACTCAGTGATACTATATATTTTGTTTTCCATGAGAGCTTTGTTTACTAATAATAAAGAGTCTTCAGGAATATGAACTTCCTTTTACTAATGAAACTTACATTTAACCATTAGACACGTGATGTGTCATAAGATCATGGGTGCTTAATGGGCCAGAGTTATAATGGCTATTGGAATGCATGGAAGTGCATGCTTATATTTTAAATTATTCAGCTTCAGTTTTTGATATAGTAAATAATCAATAGATACAATCCACTTAAACAAAAGCTCTTTGGAATCTGCTATCATTGTTTAATGTTTTCATCTTTTTCTCACCATGAAGAGAGTTTAATTAAATGTGGTACAGTCATAGCATGAAATACTATAGGAAATGTAAACTCAACTAGAGCTACTTCTGAAAATAGTGATGGATCTCTTTGATCAAATGAATGGGTGTGAACAAAATATATCAACTGATTTCAAAAATATAATGCTGAGTAAGCAAAAGAAAGCTGCTGAATAATATATATAATGTACAATCATTTCTATGAGTGAAATTTTAGGACAGAAACATCAATTCTACATATGATTTATGGCCATACACATATACAGTAAAATGTATGAAAGCTGAATGACAATGACAAACACCTAATTCAGGGGGTTGGTTACTTCTATGCAATAATCATTAATTGTACAAAAAACCCTAAGCCTATAAAGTTTCAGAATCACTCTTTGAAATGAGTGTGTCTGCCAAATGAAAATATAGATCTGATCGTATACCTGATTAAGGACACTGAATTTAACTGGGACATAAAGTAGAACACATATTAGATGCAGTTATTCAACAGATTATGTGTCCTAGTAAAATTAAAATGTGTTTTCATGTTATTTTTAAATGACACCACCTTCCTACAAACCAATATTCCTTGAAAAGATGAAAAGAAGCCATGAGAAGATGATTACTTTCCTCATTTTTGTAATCCAAGATATTCCCTGCACACACACACACACAATAATCAAAGCATCCGATTTGCTTCAGATTGTCAGTCTAACAATACTAGGATGAAGTAATTAAACTTAATACAAAATTGACATGTTAGCAAGGAAAGCTTTCCTCCAGGTAAAGATCAGAATTCCAACAAGCATTCCCAACACGGGAGAAACTGTAGTCTCATAATTCACCTCTGTGGAACCTGAATGAGTATAGGTATTCCCAACTGAGAACTTCAGCGTAGCAACATGTAAGAGAAGATACATCTAAGTTAGAGCTTATGTTTTAAAAATCTCTCTATATTGGCCGGGCGCGGTGGCTCACGCCTGTAATCCCAGCACTTTGGGAGGCTAGGCGGGTGGAGCATGACGTCAGGAGATCGAGACCATCCTGGCTAACACTGTGAAACCCCGTCTCTACCAAAAATGCAAAAAATTAGCCTGGCGGTGGACGCCTGTAGTCCCAGCTACTTGGGAGAGTGAGGCAGGAGAATGGCGTGAACCGGGGAGGCGGAGCTTGCAGTGAGCCGAGATCCGGCCACTGCACTCCAGCCTGGGGGACAGAGCAAGACTCCCTCTCAAAATAAATAAATAAATAAATAAATAAAATAATAAAAAAATCTCTCTATATTATGCTTCTAAGTATAATGTTTTTCAAACATAGATACCAACGCTAATAGCTGCATTATATATATCAAATCTATCCATCAAATTTGAAAAAAAAGACAGGAATATGAAGACTGTTAGCATTTAAAATATTTTAATGTGCTTCTTTCCAGAGTTAAATTTGTATTGCAAAAAATTTTACCTGATGTGCATGCTTGTACACCTTTCATTCTGACTGCCTGGTTCGAAACACACTCTTTGATTTCAACCTTAGGCTGAAAGGGTTTTGAGATAAAATGATTAATAAATAATATATGTTTGATACACTACGTGGTTAATAATTAAAGATAAATATAGAAAAGTTATTACCTTCAAGTGATGATATTGCTCAAGAGAATCTAGAAGGCAAAAGGGACATATAATCAATTATGTATAAATATGATAAAGCTAACCATATACTCAGAGTTAGTATCAAGCTGAATCTTAGTGCTTCCCCTTAAAAATAATGACTTTAGATTTAGGGGTGCATTTCTTTTGTCAGGACAGCAACATGACAGAAATATCCTGAAGAAAATTAAGAAGATAGGTTGAATAAAACATGCAGTTAACATTTCAAAGGCAAGATTCTGATTCAAATATCTGTAACTAAAATAGAAAAGTAGGCACACAACCATGGGTACATGCTGAGGAGGAGAAAAGTGATCTGTAACCAGCGGAACAAATCATGACCCTGCACAGATAAATGCCAAAGCTGACGGTAGAACGCTATAGTGTGTCTTTAATGTGACACATCAGAATCATTTATACCATTCCACAACAAGTATTTATCATGTCCTTCAATTGGTCCTGTAATATAGGAAGCACACAGTTGTCATGACAGTTCATTTGAATGTTTAATTCATTTCTCATCAGAGAAAGTGTTCTGAAGTGATTGCTTTGGATCCACACTTAAACAGCAAAATAGTTCATAAAAATGTTCATTTTTTTCCCATATCTATTTGGGCTTACTGATAGGTCTACATTTCTTATATCCTCTCGTTTGGCCATCTTAAATTTTTTGATCCTCTCATGGAAGAAAGTATGTGAAACATGTCTAAAAATAATGTATAAGAAGCTTTCAACATAGAGATATTAATAAAAAATGCATTGCTACACAATTATTAGCTACTACTGACCTTTCATATATCAAAATGAGTGTAATATTGATAGAAAATAATGCCTTTTGTATTCGAGGAATAAACTTTGTAATTTTTTATTTCTAAACTTAATTTGGGTTGGCATATCATGTCATCCATGATAAACTTTAACAAAACAGGCATCCTATTAAAAAAATTGGCTGCCTTAAAGAAAAAGCAGCCAAAGCGCCTACATTTAACTTAACCTCAGTTGATTAACTCACATCGACAAAACATGCATCTTTGGTGTCTGATAGTTACAGAGAGGAGAAATTAGCTCCTGTGGTTTACCCCCATTCTAGCATTCCCTCTTTCCAGTAATTCCTGGAACAGCAATCACCTAATTTTCTGAGTGCCAATATACTGCAGCTATCAGAAGTGAGAGCTCTTGAGTTTCCTTATTATCAACTCCAAAATTAACTAGCCAACTTCTTCCTTTCTTCTCCCTCCTCCTCCACTCCCAATCCCTTTTCCTTTGCAAACGTAATCTCTAGATCTGTTGTCCTGATTCTGTCCCTTCTACCTCCTTTTGATGGACTATTCCCATGACTTCTCTTCTCTTCATTTAGCAATAGTATCTTCCAGCAATGATTTCTATTTCTTCATCTCTTTCTCCTTCCCCTCTGGCTAGAAACACGCTCAGAAATGAAAGCAAAATCATGCTTGCCCTTGATTCTGTTATGTCTTCAGTGGTTATCCAATGGCTCTTCCAGATTTCTCTAAAGGCACAGCTATACCCTTGCTACTCAGAGTGTGGTCCTAGGACAAGAAGGGTCGGCATCACCCGAGATCTTATCAGAAATGCAGAATCGCAGACTTGTGGAATCAGAATGTGCACTTCTAACAAGGTCCTCAGCTGATTTGTTAAAATTTGGGAAGCTCTGGTCTATACTGAGTGTGCTCCCACATTCCTTAACCTCAACTTGCCCTTCTGGAATCCAGCCTCAAGCTCCACCTCCAAATCTAAGCTGCATTACAAGTCATAAGGTTACTAATGAACTTTTTATCAGGATATAGCTTCCTTGATCTCTCCATAACTAATCCTACCCTCTTCTTTCCAATTCTCTTCTTCTGGCCCCTAAGATACTGTCCCATGAAGTAATAACATTTTATAGCATATTAAATTATAGACATGTAATTTAAGCATGGCTGACCATACATTACATTCCTCTATCGCAGATAAAACAGCTCTGCATGGTCAGGTACCTCCATCCTTAAGGCATTCCCAAAGGAAAACAGCAAGAGTGGCAACATTTTGCTTGACTTCTCTGACAAGTTTGGGTACTGGAAACTCACTTTATATTCTCCCCAAATAGTTATCTTACTCTATCACCCTTCATTGCATACATCTGCTTCTTTTTCCTTCATTTACTCCCTGTATTCTCTGCCTTTTTCACTCTTCATTCCCTCATTTACTCTTTTCTTCTTCCTTATTTTCTGACTTTCCTCAGGTCTTAGAGTATCTTGAATTGGAACTAATGATTCAGCTCCTTCAGTGGCACTCTTAATCAAATCGGTTGCTAATACCTTACAAAAAATACAACATATCACTATTTCACTTCTCTCTTTTTGACTATGCACTTAATACCTTATTTTCCTTGGCTACTAGGACATAACAGAGCTCATGTTTTTAAATAAACATTCTGTCAAATTTTTAAATAAAATACAGTTCTTACCTTCTTGTTCCTTTATTGTACTTTTTCCTCTTTGACCATCAGCTTCAGTTAAGTGACTATCATATTTCTGGGGAACATTTTCAAAGGTAGTCTGTTGAAATTATAATAAATAATGAGTTTCAATGAAAAAACAATGAATTTCTCAACATTTCCTAATCATGTTCTAAATTTCCTGATTTAAAAGCAACGAGACCTGGAAATAAGGAAAGCATGTATTGAAAACCAAAATATTTCAACAGAGAAACTCATATATGTTCTCCAGATCAAGCTAAACTTTTATCTCCATATGGCTATTGACTCTGTAAACTGAACATAGAAAGCCAAAGGAAACATAGTGACCGATACAATATTAGTTCATATGTATATTTCAGCAAGGAACTAACTTCAAATACCTAACTCTACTTTGCGTTCACTACCAACAATAAGAGGGCATTAAAAAAAACACACACACTTGGTATAATACTTACAATATTAATATTTAAAATATTTCTAATTACATAAATGATCTTAGTGTTAAGATACTCAGCATGATAGGTAACTCCCGGGTACGTTATGTTGAGTATAAGCAGAACATTGTCAAAGCTGCTTTATTTAGGTAAGGAAGGGCTTGGAAAAATCAAAATATAAATGGCAAAATAGTAAGAAGCCTTTTCTTTATGCCTTATTTAAATAAAAGCAAGCAAATATTAGATATAGTATGCAATTCTTTCAAAATTAAGAAATAACTTCAAGAAAGTAAAGCAAGAGTTAGTAAAAAGGGAAGGAGAAGAACATTTATGATGAAGCATCTAAACTGTCTGAGGCCCGTGTTTACACATTCTCTTTTCTACACATTCTAAGAATACACATGGAGACGAGGATGCTTACCACACTTCCCGCGTTTTGGATGTTGAGAACAAAATGAAAAGCATATGTGACCCATTGTTCTCTCTGTCCAGAGTATCCTCCTTCTAGACTGTCACATGGCTCACTGCTTCTTGTCCTCTAGTTGGCAGCTTAAAGTCACACTCAGAAAGATCTTCTCTGAGAACAGAATTCTACTCCCATTCCAGCCCCCATCCTAACTATGCACTTCTTCAATGTGGCCTAACCTGACATTCTCTGTTTTCTTTATAGGAAGCACTTATAGTGACTTAGAAGTGTTTGTTCTTTACTTGATTTTCTGCTCCTACGACTGTATCATAAGCTTCATCTTGTACATTCAGTGTCCCACTGCCTAGCACACAGTCAGGAGTCAAGAACAGAAATTCCTTCAACGTCAAAAACACAATCTCATTGGAAAGGTCTCAAGTGCCAAATCACTACATTCCCTTAGGATATTCCCATAGTCTGCTGAATCTTAACGTAAACCAAAGTAGAAATCGACATGCCTGTTCTAACTTTCCGGTTTTTTTTCTCGGTGCTACTGCCATTTCATTGTTCAGATTTACAAAAAGAATCCTCAATATTTACTAAATTGCTGAATCCCACTGTGATCATTTTGTCCTACACTTGTATACACACTTTACAGTTCACAAAAGGATTTCACATTTCTTCCCAAGTTTGTTCATTAGACATACTTAAGAGGTAATATTTATGAGTGTCATTCTTATAATGTTAACTACAGTAGGTACATGGAGAAGTACAGATATATATGGAGACTTTTATTCATAGGATAGCCCTAAAAATACTGATTAGAATTTACAATTTGTTTTTTGGAAGTATTTCTGTAATAAAGACTTCAATTTTCTTTCTACAAAATAAGACATTCATTCGGGTAAACATGGTCATCTACCACTACCTGAAAGCTGGAACATTATTACTACAGAGAGATAAAAGAGAAAAGAAATGTTTCATCAGTATTCCACCAGGAGAAAGAATAGGAAATCAAAATTATAGACTAATGTACAACCTGAAAAGATATATTTAAAAGAGTGTAGGTTGGGGCTAAAAGAAAGTTTAAAAAATTTTCATCTAAAATCCAAATCTGAGCTTACAGTGAGAGGATATTAGAAAATATACTGTAATCCACTTTCCTACTGATGACATAGTTCTAATTGATTTCCTTCTTATTCATAACATATTTGCATAACTCATGTGAACTTATATCCTAAACATTAATTTAAGCCATATTTTGGAAATGCAATAGATGTTATTATTAGATATCTTGTGCCTATTATATTACCTATAACATTCTATTATATAGAAATTTACTTGTCTGCTCATTTCTTCATGTTCAAAAATGATTAAAACGCTTCTTACATACAAGACTTTAGGTACTTTTGGATACACAAGAGTCTGTTTCGTAACATTCAGTAGCTCACAGTAGTGCAGGGCCTTTAAAATGATGATTTAAAGAATGAAATACAACAACTGCTGAAATTTGAAGCTTTAAACTGTGATACAAAGATGCTCTGTGAATACTTTTTACAAGTACAGGGAAAAAAGTGTTTGAAATTAAAGTCTTACCACATGGTTTTATTAAAAATCTCTGCTTCTGGAACTGTCGTTATTTGAGGAAAAATATGTATGCTTCAATTAGAGGACATTTTAAATAATCTTCATAAAATGGCTAGGAAACCACATGGGAATCTCTTTGTAATACAATTTTGTGAGACAGAAATTTAAATCTGAATTTCCATATTAAAAGAAAAAACAGAGGCGGAGGTCTCTTATGTGCCAGGCTGGTCTGGACTCCTGAACTCAAGTGATCCCTACTGCCTCGCCTTCCAAGGACGCTAGGACTACATGGCATGTGCCAGCATGCCGGCTACATTTCCACAATGATATTGAGATAATTACAGAACCAAGGACGGAAGAGAGAAAAATTCCTACTAAAAACTGTGTCCCCCACATAATTCCCAGAAAGAAAGGAAACCATAGTAGTCGTTACGTTTCGGAACTGAAAGACACCGGGGTCATTCTATGGTTACTATAATGAGTAACTGAACCCATTAAAATGTTTTCAGGCACAAGGATTATAAAGATCACAATAGGATGACGGAAAAGTTCCTGTGGTAAGCATACTTACCAAATAAACCCTGACAAAATTTCAAGTTTCCTCTACTGTGGGAAAGTTTTTCCACATACAGTTTTCCTGTCACTATGTATTTTCCAGTTCATGCCATTTTTCAGCCCCCAGTTCCTCAAAGTATTTGCCACCCTTTCCCATTTTCCAAAGGAAGAAAGTAAAAGAAATTCAAATAGTCATATCACCATAATATGTTTGTTTTTTCTGACCAACTACTCCCCAAGACCGTAAAACAGTTATAGGTAGATCACTGCCACAGTTGAAGAGTAAACACTATGCAAAACTAGGTTCAGAACAAGAAAATTTATTTCACAAAAGAGTACTTTACCTTGGTATCAGAATCAAAGAGTTCATCATCTATTGAAAGCCATGAGTCACCAGAACTCTGTTCGGCGGACAGCCTATAGAAAAAAAAAACGTACAATAAAAATGAGTGAATTCATTTCTCTAAAAAAAAAAAAATACATTGCTTTGCGTCTGGGTATCACTCCCCCAAAAAACAAAAGCAAAAAATCTGGGGAAAGGTCAGCTATCTATACAATCAATAATATTTCTTAATATAATTAAAAATTGACCTCTTTTTCAAAAAGATTTTAGTCACCTATTTCTGCCTCCACCTTTCCCAACCTATGAAATGTTCAATGAAAACTCACCCTTAGTTCCTTAACAAATAGTGACCGGCAATATATTGGCAGAGCCTGAGAATAATTTGACTTCAGAAGTATCTATCCAATTAATGAGTGACATAACCTTTGTTACCTGAACTGGAACCAACTGATCACTTAAAACAAGGTAGAAAGAGACACTGTGTCTTCTCCATTACCTGTCTCTGGTTCAAAGACTAATCTGTGCCACTCAAAAATGGCAGTCTTGGTGCTTCAGCATGGAAACCACTTAAGTAGGCCCTATTGCTGCCCTTTACCCTAAAACAGTATAGGCAGTTCCCTGAAATGTCTGAAATGCTTGACAGCTCAATGTACAAAAGTTAAAGGAACAAGTATCTATGTCATTATTGCACATATGCTTTGCAGAAAGTTTAAAACTTTAAAAATGATAAACTTTAATTATGTTCCCTGCATAGGTCCTGCCTAGTTCAGGTCCGCATCAACTAGCAAGCCTTTGAGAATCTTCATAGATGCTCTGACTCAATGACAGTCTCCAACATTGAAATCTTCTGTGTATGAAACCACTCATTCCAAAAAATGGGTTCAAATGACCAAGAGTAGGAGCTATTTCCCTCCTTCCATTAAACAAACTACGTGGAGTGTCAGTCATCTGTCTCCAGTACAGACACGTTCCCAACCACCCAAGTGAATCAGTACAACCACCTTGGAGAATAGTTTTGAAGTTCCTAAAAAAACTAGGAATAGAATTACCTTATGATCTAGCAATCCCACTGGTAGGTATATACCCCAAAGAAAGGCAATCGGTATATTGAAGAACTATGAGCACATTCATATTTACTGAAGCATTATTCACAGCAGCCAAGGTTTGGGGAAAAAAACTAACCATCCACAGAAGAAAGGGTAAAGAAAAAGTGTTACACAGACACAATGGAGTATAATTCAGGCATAAAAAAATGAGATCTTGACATTTACAACAACATGGATGGAAATGAAGGACATTATGTTAAGTGAAATAAGCTAGCCACAGAAGCACAAAGTTTGCATGTTCTCACTCATTTGTGGAAGCTACAATTGAAACAATTGAACTAAGGGACAGTAGAACAATACTTACTGGGAAAGGTAGTGAGATTGGGGGGAGGGTGGAAGTGGGGATGGTTAACTGGTACAAAAATGTATTTAGATAGAATTAATAAGATTTAGCACTGGATGGCACAACAGGGAAACTATAGTCAACAATAATTTATTGTACATCTTAAAATAACCAAAACGTATATTTGGAATGTGTGTAACACAAAGAATGATAACTGCTTGAGGGGTCAGATATACCCATTTACCCTGATATGATAATTATGCATCATATACGTGTATCAAAATATCTCATGTACCCATAAATATATTGTGTACACTTGCTATGTACCCATAGAAATAAAAAATAGAAAGATGACCCAAAAAAGAACAATGAAAAAAAAGGGCTGAGATAACAATGACACATTTTTACCAAAAAACTATTCTTACTTGGATTTCAGAAAACTTTAAGCTAAAGAAACATCAAAATTCCAATGAATAAGCATGGCTCATTTTATTCAATATTTAGACTATATGATATATGTAAATCAGATATTATTATCAATGATTAATATTGGTATTTAAGACTGTTAGAAGGGAGTGGGTTAAATTGCTACCTATCAGGTACTATGCTCATGATGAGAGTGATGCGATCTGCCCTCCAAACTTCACCATCACTCAATGTTCCCATGTAAGATATCTGCATATGTGCCCTCTGTATCTCAAATAAAAGATGAAATTAAGAAAAGAAAAACACCATTATAAATTTTCAAAAGGGTAGTTAAAAAGTTATCTTTTACAAATTTCTACCTTCAGAAATGCTTTTGTTTGAAAGGAGGGAGGAAAAGCTTCAATTTTGATAAGTCCTAATAGGCAAATTTTAAATCTCTCAACTTGTTCAGACTGGGCAGGTAAACATAAAGTTTTTAAGCTTGGAAGGGTCCTGAGAGACAGTAGAATACATAATGGGTATTCAGGTTACATTTGCTGAATAAATGGATTAAAAGAAGACATAAATATATTTGAGGAGTTCAATATTTTTAAAGAAAACTTGTAAAGTAACGTTTGTGCAATAGAAATGATTTATATTTGCTGTTTTTTATTTTCATAAGGACACCACTAAAACAAAATGATTAAATTATAATTGTCTGCGTGTATGTAATAAATCTATCCATAATAAAAAACATGTGTAAAATATATACACAATACAATCACAAGCACAGATTAAAAGATTCTCTCTATTTCTGAAGATGCCAATTCACAAAATAAATTAATGGAAAGCAAAAACTTATTTTTATCTGTTCAAGATTCACATTCCTGTTCTTACCTAGGATAATTTCACTAATAACAAACTTTTACTAAACCTGTTATACATGCTCATTGTGGATATCACAATAAGAAAAAGGAAAATAAATCACCCATAATACAAATGTCCCAAAACAACAAAATTGTATCACATTTTATGTATACTTTCAGCTACCACGAGACCATTCTCTTTGTGTGTATGTATAATCAAATCGATTTTTTCTCACCTCATATACCAAAGTATATCTTCCCATGTCAACAACTCGAATGTTGCAGGCTAGCCTGAAGGTCACATGTGGGTCGGGGAGGTAGCCCCCCACCTTCCTGAAG